GGCACAAGTTCTTGACTGTCCTTCTGTGGCAGGGGCTGTTAGCCATTCACTAAAATCCATTGCCACTTCTCGGGTTGTTTGTCTTTTTGCTGTTGAGCTGTGAAAGGTTTTTTTTGTATGTATTCTGGATGCTAGACCCTTATCAGATACATGATGTGCAAATATTTTGTCCTGTTTTGTGGGTTGTCTTTTCATTTTCTTGATGGTGTCCTTTGATGCACAAAAGTCTTTAATTTTGATGGGGTCCTATTTATTTTTCCTTGGTTGCTTATGCTTTTTGTATCATATCTAAGAATACTCTGCCAAGACCAAAGATTTGCACAAATCACAAAGATTTAAACCTAAGTTTTCTTCTAAGAGGTTTATAGTTTTAGCTTTTACATTTAGGCCTTGGGTACATTTTGAGTTGGTTTTCTATATGGTATGAGATAGGAGTCCAGCTTCATTCTTTCGCGTGTAGGTTCCCAGTTGTCCCAGCATCATTCACTGAAGAGACTATTGTTTGAGAACCACTGATTCTGATAATAAGAAATTTTCACAGCTGTTGTCCTTCAGGTAGACTTGGATGTAAGGCTTTGTGGGTTGCTTGGTACCAGGGTCCTTCAGGGGAAGGAGAGGTTCCATGAAAAAGAGAAAGCAAGGGCAGGGGTGGGGTGGGGAGGATAGAACTGAAATCGATGTGAAGGCTGGCCTCTCGCAGAGGTTATAACAGTCTAAGAACACTGCCAAAGAGATGTTATAATCTTAGTCCAACTTCTAAAACTTTTGGTATCAGTGAATTCAGTGGCATGTATAGACCTGGTAGTTGGGAATCCAGATGGCTGTTGAAAACTTGGCAAGTGGTTAGTTATTATCCAGTTGATTACATACCCATCCAGCTGTAGTGGAACAATTACTCAGTGGGCTAAGGGTTTGAAACAGGGGCCAGTCCTGGGGAAGAGGTGTCCTCAGGGCAAAGCTAGGCAAGGTGTGGTACGGTGATAACTAAAATGGCCACAGTTCTTGTATCTAGACCTTTTGCAACGTGACTCTGTAGCTCTTTCCTTCAAGAGGTAGAGCTAATTTTTTCACACTTCAATCTGTGCTGGCCTCATAATTCTGTCTGGTCAATAGAATGCAGCAGAAATGACTGTGTGTTATCTCTGAGCCTAGGCATTGAAATGTTTTGTGTACTTCTGCTGCCTCTGTCTAGGAACCTTACCTCCCTCCCATGAGAGCAAGCCCTGGTTGGAAGATGAGAGACTTAATGGAGACATTCTTGGGCAATCTAGTAATAGCCAGTCAACTCCCGGAAGTAGAGCCACCTAGCTCACCTACAGCTGAGCAAGGTTCAATGAGGGAGCCCATCGGTGACCAGAAGAATAGTCCAAATAAGCCCAGGCAAAGTTGCCAAACTCCAGAATCATAAACGAATGGTTTTTATTTTAAGCCACTGAATTTTGGGGGTGCTTTGTTACATAGCAACAGCTGACCATACACAGGCTGTCAGGGTCTGGCCAAATGCGCTGCAGATCAGGGCCAGGACAAGTGTGACGCACGGGAGGTGCCCAGGGTGCAACATTTAAGGCGGCATTCACTCTCTTGTGCAGGTCCCGTATTTTTCCTGGCCTGCGTCTTCTGTTCCAGAGTGGGAAGTGTTGAGAGTGAGACCTAAGAAAGGCACCTGAAGCAGACTGGATCACTAGGAGAATAAGAGTGATGGCAGGCAGGTTGTGTGCTTTGGTATTGTCCTGGGTTGGCCTTGGTGGAAACGATGTCAGATCTCAGGTATGGTTGGTGGTCAAGGAAGCCTCCCTTGCAACACAGAAGTTCAGCTCTTCTTATGTCTGGGCCATTAGCTCCCAAACCTGAGTAGATGTCAGAGCCCAGGAGAAGCTTTAGTCTGGGCTGTTCACTCAGTTCATGAGCTACAGGGGGCATGGAAGGACATGGGAAGGGGGCCAGGCTGTCATCAGCTCTGTACACACCCACTCCTTGGCCTATTGCTCCTTTGACAAGTTAGAACAAAATGGTTAAAATTCAAGAAATAATGGGCCACTTTTAGAAACGAGCTGCCTTGCAGAACGCGCTTCAGAACAAACAATTTTCATGATGAGCAGCAAAAGATTCTTTGCTCCAATTGCAGCTGCCACAATTTACACATTGCATTGAGTAGTGACAAGCAATTTCACAAGTGACAGAGACAGGCCATAGCCATGCCTGCAAAACCTGGGTCAGACCAACGTTGATAATTTCCAGGCTCTCACATCATCACCATCTTTCTAGTAATAAATGACAACGATGATGGCTCTTTGGATTTGGGGAGGGGAGTTGCCCAAAGAGTGAAGTGGAAAAGTAATAAGGGTATGTGTTCCTTGGGCTAAGATGTGAACAGTTTTGGAGATCTGGTCTACATTGTAAACACTTCCTGAGGCCTCTAGGATAATAAAGACATATTTCAGACAAGATTTCAACCCTTAGCTTGTCAGTGTTCATGGAGTATCCTCACCTCTTGGTAAATTGGGAAACACAAGCCTTTCTAGGCTTCGGTAAGGAGGGAGGGGCTATTTGGTAGCTTCATAGCTGGATCTCCAGAAACTGCTTCTCACTCACCAAGATGCAACCCCTACTTCTCCCTTAATCTAGTTACACAGTCACCCTTTCTCCTTCTTGAAATGACAGCCAGGCAGATGCTGTTCATTATACCTACTCTGAGACCCAGGACCTAGAGGTGGCCTGGCCACCGTGCTTTACTGTTATTGGGAAACCACTCTTTCTGTAAAGCTCACACCAGCCAGTTGTTGCTGAGACTCCATTCTTTGCACCATCATCTGTAGACCTCTTGGGGAGTCATTTTTCAAAAAGATTTATTTATTTATTTGGGGGGAGGGGCAGAGGGAGAGGGAGAGAGAGAATCTCAAGCAGACTCTCCAGTGAGTGTGGAGCCCGATGTGGGGCTCGATCCCACGACCTTGAGATCATAACCTGAGCCAAAATCACGGGTTGGATGCTTAACTGACTGAGTCACCCAGGCACCCCTGGAGAGTCATTTTTTGATTTCACCCTTGGCTCCTCACTTTCTTCCTTTCTATCCAAGTGTGGTCATTATACCACATGATTTTAATGATGCATGGGCATAGCTGAGCCTGTTTTAACGTCAGCTCTTGTAGCTCACCTATCACTGTGGAAATTTGGTATTTTTTGTCTGATGTTTTGAATTTCCACAACTTTCAGCTAGATGAAGTCTGACTCATAGGACTTAAGGAAACTTGGGTGGTCATCCTGTTTATAACTAATTGCCTATCTACTGGAAATGCTTTCTTTACTCCAGAGAGAGGAACTCCATTGTTCCTCTTAATATATTTCTCTTGTGTTTAACTTGGTTACTTTCAGTGGTAGTCTCCAGAATTTAGAGACTGTATCTCATTATTCTCTATCCTTCACAGTGCTCATTAGCGAGTAAGTGCTTCTTGGTGTACTGGTCTATCAGTGTTTCAGATTTGATGCAATGGGAAATGGGCAGGTAGTCTTTTTCCTTCAATTTTTTTTTTAAATTCTGAATGCCCAGGTTACTGTCATTGGATTGGCCTTCATTCTCCATGCAGGAGTATAGAGAAGATAGAAAATAGAGTTGATTTTGTCTTACCCAATTTTGAGCTCAAAAGAATTTGATGATTGCTAAGAAAGAAAACCAACGGGAAACTGATGTATAATTTATTTGGTACCCAGTACCCACAGGAAACATCTGTTGTGATTTTATAAGCCTGTACAAATTCAAAACAAGATAAGTGAAGAAAATGTGTCTATTTAAAAGACAACATAGCAGTCTTCTCTAAGCACATTAAGGAGAGAGATGTCTGCAGCTTTATTTGGCAATTGTATATAATCTCACAGGCAACACAGCTATTTTATTCATTTAATTAAAAATGGAAAACGTATTATAATAAAAAAAGCAAGCTGTGGAAAATCATGAACCATACTCCCTGAGTTCCTAACCTCTTTTTTTCATTTTGCGTGGCTAAGTTTTCCTGGCAATTAAGATGTTTAAAACAGTGGAACGAAAGTACAGAGTTATGGGATGGCTGGTTAATTTCCTCATAAACTTATCCCTTGCAAATTACTCGATAAGCAAAAAACTTAGACTTTGATGTTAATTACCTCTATTAGTGCTGACAATAGTAGTTTCCACTAATGATCGGGTTTATTCTCTGCTCCATTTGCTGAGCTGTGAATTATTAATGGGTATGAGGGCTACTTTACTACAGATGGGAATACTTTGCAGACTGTTTTCAAAAGATCTGTCAACAAAATCGTCACTGTGCAGACCGGCTTCCTATGTACATCCATAAATACCATGTTCAAAGAATCTGTCTACCTATCTAGTAATCATTGGGCCCATGATCAGGGTGTTTTAGCTAAAGACAGGGTGGTTATGCATATGAAACTGCGTCAGCAGAGTAGAGAGCTGCTGCTAGATCCTGGCTCGTTGTGAAACACGGGGCAAGTGCATTTACACTTCTGGATTTCTTTGGCCCATGTGTAAGTTGAGACTGTTGAATTAGATACCCCCTACCTTGGAATTTTATTATAATGTGAGGCCAGCTAGGTTCAGGCCTTAAATAAAAGAACTTCCCTAGCTCAGCTCAGGTGGATATGAGGTCAACCTACTATTCATTCTGGTTTGATACCCTAAAGATCATGCAACAGCACTTCGTTTTAAGTCTCCATATGGCTCCCCTCAATGCCATGCAGTGTCAGCGAGGGCCAGATACCTTACTAACTGCTACTCTTGGACCAGTGAGAAGACTTACCGACCTCCGAATCATTGTGGAAAAGAATCCCATGCTTGAGCAGTGGCCTGTGTCTAGGTACAATAACAACCAAGCCTTATATTTGTACAGGGCTTTGAGCTCTTTCAAGGATTTCACACATACTTTCTCATTTTATCCACAATATAATGAGGGTGATGATGAAGACGGTCTGGAAGCACATTTTCAAGGAACACGAACGCGTTGAGGTTTTCAATCTTCCCCAAAATGAAGAACTGCATTTTTCCTTGGGGGTGAGATTGCATTTATGTTGTTCTTCCTGAATTTCATTAGCTTCTCACTCCCAACTTGAAAGAAGACTGTGAACGGCAGTGAAGGCATCGAGAATGTGGCAGCAAATGCTAAATTTAAAAAAGAAAAAAATGGAAGTCTTCCCTGTGAATTTAAGGAAAATAATGGTCTTGGCACTCTAATCATTGGGTTGGATATTGAAACAGCCCGCAGATTGTCAAAACGAGGGAAATTGCATGAATCTGAAATTCAAGGCCAGAACTGCTTAAAAAGATTCAAGGATGTGGCCAGGTTGCTGCGATTGAATGTACAAATTTAGCAGGAGTAACTTCATCTTATTTGTTCCCACTGTTCTTCAATAACGAAACCTCCAAAACACTAAAAGACTATCCAGGCTTGAAACAGATGGGAAAAGCAGATGCACCTTGGTTTTCCTTCAGACCGAGTTCCCATATACTCTGGGAGATCGGAGGAGAAGGATATTTTCCTGGGAGCACTGTGGATTTGTCCAGCTCCAACCAGCAGAGATCTGGCTTGCCTGACAATGGCAAGATTAATTCTCATACTTAAAAAACTTAGTTTCATGACTTTCATTATAAATATTATAAAGAGAAAGTGAATATATATATATATGTGCATATGTATGTTTTTTTCTTCTCCCTAAAGAGGTGGTGATATGGCTTGTGGATTTGACTTTTTTTTTCCCCCCCAACCTGTTTCAATCAAGTTTGTTGGCACTTTGGAAAGCCTTCTGGCTCTCCTTTGGCTATAACAAGTTAGAAGTGAGTTCTAGGTCAAGACTGCCTGGGGTATTAAGAAGTTTTTTACCCTATTTAAAAGTCAGGCTGTGGGGGAAACTAGACGGAGGGAACCATTTTTTATTAATTGATTTGATGTATGCGTGGGACTCCACCTCACAATGGAAATATCACGAAGCAACTCACTTTTTACCCTAAAGCCTCCCGATTTGAGAACCCAATGGGCAAAAGTACACACATTTGGGTATTCCCGTGGTTCTCGCGGTGTGGTCCTCAGCATCACATGGAAACTTGTTAGAAATGCAAATTCTCAGCCTTACTCCAGACCTTCTCAATAAGAAACTCCGCAGGTGGAGCCCAGCAATCTGTTTTACTGAAGCTTCTAGTTGATTCTCATGCAGGCTACCATTTAGGAACTACTGGTGTTTGCAATTAGAGTAGGTCTAAATGTTGTCCCAACACTGGAATCACTTGGAGAACTTTAAAAACAAATCTTGTCTGGTTCCTACTTCTGCGGATTTTAATGTAATTGGTCTGAGGTCTGGCCTGATCACTGAAGTTGTAAAACCTCTCCAGATGATTCTAATATTCAGACAAGCATGGGACCCACCCACTATGCTAACGTCAACCTACTCTCTTTATAAGGGGCAATTTTTCAAAAAAAGAAAAGCAGGAGACGGTGTTGCCAGAAAAGAAAGGCAGAGCAGTTTTGGGGGAAAGGTAGATAAAGTGAGTTATACATACTGAATGCTTTCTGCTTTATATAAAGGCATTCGAGTCTATCTCTAGAACCTTTTCAAGTGATGATTAATTCTCCGGGTAAGAATATTCTTCTTGGTGTGAGGAATTGTTTTGCTTTTGTGGTTGTCGCACTTCAAAGTTTATTGTCAGAAAGGAAGTTTCCTATGGGATTCTGACGGATATATAAATATACACTCATATATATGTATATATGTGTACATATGTATGTATAAAGAAAGCATACAAATTTTGAAAAAGGTACTGTTCCTCGAGAATATTGGTCAAAAACCATTTGCAACGCTTTTGTTCTTCGAGATCTTAAATGACAAAGTTGTATTTCAAGCCTGCATTTAAAAAATTTTATTGAATCTTACAGTTAGAAGGGACATTAGAGGCCACATATACTACAGGAATACTCTCCTGTTTTTGTGAGTTAGTGGGCTTCATTGGAAATTTGCCGGGAAACATCTTGTATCACACTTACCAACCAGTTGTGAAAAGTTTTTTTGTTTTTTGATATTAACAAGTTCAAATTGAAATATATTTCCCTCTAAGTTCTACCTGCTCACCTCATTTCTCCTTTGGAGAACCACTCCTAAGAAGCTGTTATTTAAAATTCCTTCTAGATCAAGGAAGGGGGTGTGTGTGTGTGTAATTCAGTGGGAATTTTAAGGGCTGTGATCATGTAGATGATAACTACTCATACCATTTTCCCCATTGGTTTTGAGCCAACTAGAAATACACATAGAGGTCAGATACCTCTACAAGGTCATCATAATTGTGGGTAAAATTAGGGCTTTGATCTACAAACATCATTTGGCTTCAACAACTTCTCCCTGAACTGTATGGACTCCGTACGGTTCATCTCTGTGAGTCTATGTACCACATCCTATCGGGACAAGTAGAATTCCCTATTTTTTTTTTAAAGACAGCAAGGTTGGGGTCCACACATGCTTGATTCTTTTTCCTCCTCTCTTCTACTGGGAAGGGGTGGGTTTAAGAGCAAAACCCAAAGAATTCCTTCCATCCTGGTCCTTCCCAGGGAGAAGAGAGAAAACTGGAGGTGTGTGGTTATAAGTTCCTATCCTCCAACACTTAGCAAGCACTTGGAACATTTTTATACTTCAAATAGTTGAAGGTAATTATTATTTGCCTTGTAAGTCATCTTTATTTTTAGAAGATTCCCAAGTTTATGTGTCTATTCTCTAAGATTTCCAGGCCCTTCACCAATGCTGGTTGTCCTTATATGGACATGATTCTCTTTGTGATTGTTCCTCTTAAGGTTCAGAAGAGGCCAGTGTTTGTTTTATTTTGTTTTTTTTTTTAATTTTATTTTTAGACACCTTGGGTTGGTACTTTGTGATCTTGTTTAATCTTTCCTTACTCTAGGCGCATAGAATCTCATATATTTTTTGAAATATTTTAAGATACTGCCTTTCATATGGATGTCCTTTCCTTATGTGGAGTTGATTTTTCTATCAAGAAAGGGATTCAAATTTATTTTTTTCTTGGATATCCATTGTTGTTGGATAACCAATTGTTTTAGGGTATTTGTTCGAGTCCCACCTGTCCCTCGATTTCTAATAACCCCTTCATTCATGTACCAAGTTTCCATTTAGGCACGAGTCCATTTCTAGGCTCTGTGTTACAGAGGTCAATGGCCTATTCCTGTGCCAAAAGTACAGTGTTTCGATTTTTGTAGTTTATGAAACGTTTTGATATCTGGTATGAATTCCCATACCTTGTTTTTCTTTGGAACTGTCTTGGCTATTCTTGGTCTGTTGTTCTTCGATGTCTTCAAGAATCAGCCTTAAAAAATTGTTAGGACTTTGACCAAAATTTTATCGACTCTGTAGATGAGTTTGGCTGGAGTCCATGCAGAGCTGGTTATCACAGTAGGAGCTTGTACAAGAGTCAGGTAAAGCGAAGAGGATATGAAGTGGTGTAAGAAGTAGCCTGCTTCATTGTGTGTTTTGTGATCTCTTTCCTTTCTTCCTTCCCATCTTCCTTCCTTTCTCCTCGGTGCCCTTTCTTTTGTGATAAGTAGTATTTGTAGAAACTGTTATCTGTGACAATTCTTTGAAACCTAGGTTTAATGTGCTTGCCTCCAGAAAGCAATTGTATTTACTTCTGTGAGGTTTTTGAGCCTCTTAAAGTAGATCTCTGCTTGTGTTTTTTCAGTTCTTAGAGGTTGTGTGATTTCTAGATCCAATTTTGCATGAGTACTAGCTTACACTGACACATTCTCAGATGAGACACTGCCACGCCCACCACGGAAGAAAAGACTAAGAAAGGCAAATGACTTCGTCATAAGTCTCTGTAAACTAGAATTTCCCCCCTTCTTACAGTGAGTACAGCTTCTGATGGACTAGGCCTTTTAAAGGAATCTCCCATCCAACTTTGCTCTCTGCTTGGGCCCAATCATTGTTCCTTTAAAATCCACAACTCTAGGCAGCCAAGACTCTGCAGATAATCTCAGGGCAGCTGCAGACATTAGCATTTTGTTCTCTGTGGATTCGTACTTTTGCCTCTTTTTAGCCACTGAAGACTTTGGTTCATTTTTTTGCCAGCTCATCCATCCTCACCCTGGTTCCGTGTAGCTAGTCACCTACCTAGGTACCCTCTATCAGATAGAATATATTACAACTAATCCCATAGGTATATATCCTATTTTCCAGCCTTTTTAGGTAGTCTCTAACAGGAGAATTTTCTACATATTTTCTGTTAAACCAATTGCTATTGAATTTGAAGTTAACCACTAAGGCATTCGTTTGTTTTTCATACTTCCTTTGCCTTACTTGAAATTTGATAAGCATGTTCTTTGTGTGTTTCTAGTACTAAGGTCTTAGTTTTTGTGGTGTTAAGATCTTTTGGAAGCTCCCATTTACATTCTGTGCCTTAGAGATATTTTTCCTCATTAAGGAGAGGTTCACGATTGCCCAATGCCCTACATTCTGTCCTGTTCTTGAAGAGAGGTACGTAGGCCCTTAAAATTTCAAAAGAAACAGACACGGGATATGTCCTGGTTATTGTTGGGTGCATAACATATGAACCCCCAAATTTGTGGCTTACATCATTTTATTATATTTTATATTTACTATATTTCATAATTCTGGGGGCTGAGTTCAGCTGGGCAGTTCTGGTTTGGGGTTTTTTCCTACATTTGTAGTAAAGGAGGTTGAGGTAAACTCAAAGGTTTCTTCACTCATATGTTTTAGGGTTAAGGCTTGCTGTCTCCTGGGACCTCAGCTGAGCTATGGTTAGAACACATGGCTGGAAGATGTCCATCGACAGATGAATGGATAAAGAAGATGTGGTATATATACACAATGGAATATTATGCAGCCATCAAAAGGAATGAGATCTTGCCATTTGCAACGACGTGGATGGAACTGGAGGGTGTTATGCTGAGTGAAATAAGTCAGTCAGAGAAAGACATGTATCATATGACCTCACTGATATGAGGAATTCTTAATCTCAGGAAACAAACTGAGGGTTGCTGGAGTGGTGGGGGGTGGGAGGGATTGGGTGGCTGGGTGATAGACATCGGGGAGGGTATGTGCTATGGTGAGCACTGTGAATTGTACAAGACTGATGAATCACGGATCTGTACTTCTGAAACAAATAATGCAATATATGTTAAGAAAAAAAAAGAAGAAGAAGAAGATAGCAGGAGGGGAAGAATGAAGGGGAGTAAGTCAGAGGGGGAGACGAACCATTAGAGATGATGGACTCTGAAAAACAAACTGAGGGTTCTAGAGGGGAGGGGGGTGGGGGGATGGGTTAGCCTGGTGATGGGTATTAAAGAGGGCACATTCTGCATGGAGCACTGGGTGTTATGCACAAACAATGAATCATGGAACACTGCATCAAAAACTAATGATATAATGTATGGTGGTTAACATAACAATAAAAAATTATTAAAAAAAAAAAAGCTCCACAAAGGCAAAAAAAAAAAAAAAGAACACATGGCTGGAACTGTGGTCTCTCCATGTTGCCTGGCCTTCCTTGCAGCATGGTGGCTGGATTCCAAGAGAGAGTATCCCAAGGGAGAGAGTGAGGTAGAAGCTGTATTGCCTTTTATGTTCTAGTTTCAGATGTCTCTGCTGCATTTTATTTGTTAGAGTTGGCAAGACTGGCCAAATTCATGGGGAGGGGATCAGACTCCCATCTTTTTGAAGACAAATCAAAGACTTGAGGGACCAATGTTTTAACCACCACAGTAGACAAATATAGGAAGGTTTCATGTTTTCAAATTCTAATACATTTTTTATTGCCATGGCCATTGCTCTTCAACTCCTGATCCTTTTTGGGAGAAAAACAAATGTGCATTTTTTTCTCGCTTTTATTGCTCACTGTATTTTATGCGCTAAATCTTCTGAACCTAACTTCATGTATATTCAAGCTCTGAAAATGCATCCAATCTACAATAACCCTTACCATGACTCTCAAGGACTCTTCAAACAACCTTTATCTGGCTTCTCTGCCTCCACTTTTACCTTCCTCTTCACTGATGGATTTCTAAGTAGCACATGTGATCTTGTCTCTTTCGTGACTGAGAAATCACTGGTGGCTCTTCAGCTCCTCCATGTGACACACAAGACCAACTGTGATTGGCTCCTTACCCTTTCCCATGCCTCTTCTCTCATTTTCCATTTTCCCTTTACACTCTAGCAAAACTAAACACCATGCCTTTTCACAGCTCTGTGCCTTTGAATACATTGATTTCCCCTCCCTAGAATGTCTGTCTCTAACTTGCTTGGCCATCTCAAGCATTTTTAAGGTACATTCACAAATCTATCCATGTTCCTGTGTCTATAGCACCCATCTGTTCAGTCTACTTGCTAGACATAAAGATTTTATCTTTTGAAGCCCTCTAAGTTCAACACTGCTCTAATTGTCTACTTTTTCTTGGTAGTATGTAATAAATACAAGAACCTCTCCCTTCTGACATTAGAAATAGCACTTGTCAGCTCTGGTTAAGAGCTTAGCAGTCTTTGAGACACCCCAATCTTCAAAGGACATGGGTCAATTTTCTCAAAAAAAAAGAAAAAAGTCTCCCCTTTCCTTTTGTGACAGTAGCCACACTCATAATCCCCATTGTTTGTTTTGGCTTGGTTTTTTAAAGATTTTATTTATTTGAGAGAGAGAGAGAGGGAGAGAAAGCATGAAAAGGAAGGGGGCATGGAGAGGGAGAAGCAGGCAAGCAGGCTCCCCGCTGAGCAGGGAGCCCGATGTGGGGCTCGATCCCAGGACCCCGGGATCATGACCTGAGCTGAAGGCAGATGCTTAACTGACTGAGCTACCCAGCGCCCCACATGATCCCATTGTTGTCACCGGATAGCTTTACAAAATTTTCTTCACTGTCAGCTAGAATTAAGACTTTCTTATAGAGACAAAAGGTAAAATTAATTCAGCAATAAAAAAGAAATAGAGCATTATAAAATATAAATAGCATTACAGATGTAATACAGCATATGAAATTTTCAAAGCCTAAAAACTAGGGCGAAGGAATTACTGAAATAGCAACTGTTGCTGTACCATAATTTCAACTCCCCTATTGTTGGGCATACCAATATTTTTAATTTTTCTTTGACAGTAACATGGAAACAAACATCTTTATGCACAGAAAGTTGTTTGTGCTTATTTTCTGCTATCTCATTGCATAAATTTCCAGAAATGGAACTACTAACTTAAAAAATAAGCTTTTGGATATGTTACCAAATTTCTACCATTCTTTCCAACAATGCATGACAGTTTGGCTTCCCTACACTTTCACCAGCTTTGGTATAATTTTTTTTAAAAAGTTTTGTTATTTGAAAATTAAAAAAAATGTTTACCTTCAAATTGAATGAAGTTGGGGCTTTCCCTTATTTTTACAAGGTGGGAGTTGGATTGGACTTTCAAAGACAAGAGAGCTTTAGGTGGGCTTCAAAGAGACAATTGGACCTGGTAGTTGAGAGGAATTGAATTTTAAAAGCTTTTAAAAATGACTCTTTTGTATCCAGGCTCATTATTTACTCAAAGCTAATTTCGTGTTCTCCATGATTTTTTTCAAAGATGGAAGAATTGTTATATGCGGTCTCATTTAGAATTCAAATATATTGTAAACAAGACTTTATAACAGTTAAATCTTCATCTTCCCTCAGATTTCCATTTAAAATATTTCTGTTCAGTTTTATCCCTCGTGTGTTGAATAAGGTGGCTCATATTCGTGTCATCCAATGGGTTCTACATAGCTTAATTATGAAAAAGGATAAAATTTAAATTTTTATAAGTTGGTCCCAATTAAACCATGTAAGTGAATGTTTCCTGCAGTTTCTGTTGTTGACTTCATTGCTTTTAATTTTTTTTTTCACTGACTAGCTCTGTGTGTTGTTAGGGTGAAGGTGCCATACAGAGTATGTCTATAAAATAAATATTTGGCTCTCTTTGTTACTACCTTCTGAGGCACCTGGGAAATACTCCCTCTCTTGCCCCAGAAATTAAATGAACATGTCTACTGAGCCACTTGCCATATTATCCCTCTGTCCCCAGACTTGCAAACTTTAATTTTCAAGGTCTCTGGGGAAGTGGTTCATTTACTCTGAATCTTACCAATCTCTGCAAGCTGTTTTGTTTTTTTTTTTCCTCCTAAGGTATGTTCCTCTATTACTTCAGTTTAATCAGCTTGATTTGAATTAGAAAACAGATTGTTTGGTCAGAGGTATTCATGTCAGGAGATTCTCTAGGACATACACGCAGCATCTGCTTTACCGTCTCCTGGGGAGATGGACAGTTTTGTTCCTTTTTTTGGTCACTGAACCAGTTTCCTAATGAAAGTAATACGACATTAGAAGTTCAGAATTTATAGATTGGGGAAACGATTTTATGAACCATGTGTCCATTTGCTGTACAAACTGTTCACATCCTTATAAAACATTTAAAACAATATGTATAACTCAACATCCTAGGTTCTTCACTTACTGTTCTTTCCTGCCCACGTGTCATTGCATACTTTTGAATTACTGTCCTGGCTAAATAGGCCTGTCTTTCCCCTCTCCTCAGTACAGAATAACCTGCTCAGTTCCAAAGGCCAAGAGTGTCCATATAGTGTTAGAAAAAGGATTTTCCCAACTGGAGAGCTGTTCATTGTACTGTTCTAAATTAATTGAATTATTCTGGGCCTTGGTTGCCTCCTCAGCAAGGCAGAAGCTTGGAGCAAATAATCTTTAATGCTGAGCCCTGGCAGCATGCAGTTCACCCCTTACTTTACCAGTGAGACAACTGATGACAAACTTGCTAGAGACCCAGGACATGCACTCAAAGTTCTTGACTTCAGGTCCAGTGTTTTAGGGCTCATTTCTAAGACTTGACTCTGACAGAAATTGAGTGACTAGAATCCATTTCATTTAAATTCGACGATAGAGGAGAGATGGTGAGGTGAGGAGCTAAGTAATGGGGAAGAACTTTCTAGGCAAAAAAATCTTCATGAAGAAAGGCCTAAAATCAGGAACGATGTCTGCTTGTTTGAAGACTACGTGAAAATCTGTGTGACTGGAGTATAAAGAGTGAGGGGGATGGGCTGAGAGTTTGGGCTGGAGGGGTGACCAGGAGCCATGTCCTGTTGCCCTTCTTTGTCGTGTCAGTTAGCTTTGATCTTTTTCAAAGTGGGATGAGAAGCCATTGAAAGGTTTCCAGTAGGAAATGGTCATGATTTTGTGCTTGCTTCACCTAAGTAAGCTTCATCAGGGCTTTATGTCCAGTATTAAATTTCCAATACATACCACTCTGTGCGGCTCCTCATAGGCCCTCAACTCTTCATTTCATCCTCTCAGGTATTCATTTCTCCGTCGGTGTATTTTGCAGCATGGAGAATCCAGCAGAAACATGGGAGGGGAACTCTTTTTTTTCTTTTTTTTTAAAGATTTTATTTATTTATTTGAGAGAGAGAGAATGAGAGACAGAGAGCACGAGAGGGAAGAGGGTCGGAGGGAGAAGCTGACTCCCCGCTGAGCAGGGAGCCCGATGTGGGACCCGATCCGGGGACTCCAGGATCATGACCTGAGCCGAAGGCAGTCGCTTAACCGACTGAGCCACCCAGGCGCCCGGGAGGGGAACTCTTAAGGGGCTATTGCAGCATTCCAGTCAGAAGTGTCTCAGTCTGTGGTGGACATGTTGGAGATGGAAAGAAGCAAATATGGTTGAGAAGTATCCTGTATTTAGAACTGTCACGACTTGGTCAGAGTGTGGGAGGTGTTAAGATAGCTCCAACGTGGTAGCCAGAAGTAGCATTTACTGAAATGGAGAAGAAAAAAGGGGCAGATTTCAGAGAAGATCAAGGGCTTGACCTTGAACATGGTAGAGTTGGGATGCGTGGAAGAAGCCATCCGAGTTGAAACACCAAGTTATCAAGTGGATGTATCAGACTGGTGGTTAGAAAGGACACTTTGGTAAGAGATATAAATTTGGGCATTGTCTGGAAATAGAGAGTTTTAAATAAACTATAGGCAAAAAATGCCTAGGAAAGAGAAGCAGAACCTAGATCTTAGGAAATCAACATTTAGAGTCCTGGGAGAGAATAAAGGACCATGAAAAAAGCTGGTAGAGCAGGGTCCATTGAATGAGGAGGTCAAAGCAGAAAAGCAAGGCATCTTGAAAGTCAGTAGAAGGGTATTTCAGAGAGGGAGGGGAAAGGGTTAACAGAGAATGCTCCAGACAGGACTAAATGATGATAATCACTGACAAGCTAGGAGTCTGTGTATGAGATTGAATCATAGGACATTGCTGTTTTCATAGGTAATAAATGGTCAAATATTGATATTTTGTATGGCTCACTGTAATACATAGTTTGCTTATAAAGTAAACATTTCAGGAAAACATCTCTGTCATGAAGTGAGGAACATCTGTAACCACAATTGTAAGCCCTCCCCCCTCAAATTCTCTTTACCTTTCTGTTTACCTAACTTCTCTCAGTAAATTTTTATTTAGTTGGATTTATTCTAAAGCTTTGGGGAAGCCATTGAAGGATTTGAGGTAGAGTGAGATGGATCTGATTAGGTTTTGTTTCTGTTGACTGTGAACTCGTGGACCAGTGTCTGTTTTCACCCACAGCTTGTCGCCTGGCCTGTGGTTCATAGCAGGAATTCAGCATTTCTTATACATCAGAGAGGGTTTGTCCTCCACGTGCTGCACAAACCCCTCTCTGAAAGTATCTCTTCTAATATTTTGGAATAGTAGGGGCTTTTAAGTGTCACCATACAAATTATACGAGCTCTTCAGTGTACCATCACTGCTATTGTTTCCCAAGCCCTGGATTTTGCCATTTCAGTGTAGAAATGTCCTGACTTACAGAGTCAAGGCTGGTTCACCTTGATGTCAACACAGGCCCTGGGCCAGGAGCTGGAATCCTGGCAACCGTCGGTGGATTCATGAGTAAGTTCACCTTACCTGTGAAGGCTTAATTATTTTACCTTTTTCCCCCCTCTATTTTTATTATTTTTTAAAAAACTAGGTTGAACTGGATGATTTAGGGGTTTTTTTTGGCTCTTTTTATGCTTCTATTAACGTTTTAATATTCAGGCAGAATATGACACATCAGTTCATTTATGTTTTGTCTTACGGGAATTGCAAACTAGCCACCCATTGGCCAAGACCCAAGGCCAATATTGACATGTTTTATTTATGCCCCCCAAACAGTTTTTTTAAGAATCATTTTTCATCCTTTCTTTCTTTCTTCTACCTTTCTATCTTTCTATCATCTTTCTATCATCTATCTTTATCATCTTTCTATCATCTTTCATCTATCTATCATCTTTCTATCATCTTTCCATCTATTATCTTTCCATCTTTCTATCATCTTTCTATCTTTGTTTCTTTTTTTCTAAGTTTCTTTTTTTTGTAATCTCTACACCCGATGTGAGGCTCAAACTCATGACCCCAAGATCAAGAGTCTCATGTTCTTGAAACTGAGCCAGGCTAAATATTTTTAAATGTGACTTAGTGCTCTCAGATTGAGAGATCTTACATAAAAATTTAGATTTCTCTTTCCTCTCAAAAAACTGAGATCTTTGGCTGTGTGGAGCGGGCATTCTTGCAGGGCAGTGATTGGCTGGAACTGACTCTCAGCATTCTGTGCTTTTCTTCACCCTCTGCACACTTGCCACATCATTGTTGCCATTCTTTTTTTTTTTCTTTTAAGACCTAAAAAGCTTTATTATTATACTTCTTTGGTTTCTATTACAGAAACAGTCATTTCTTAATCATACTCACACCCATGAATCTTTTCCTGAA